TAATTTGGTATAAATATCTCATTTTTGAATCTGAGGGTCGAAACCCACTTTTTCCTAGAACAGCCCCCATATGTGAATTGCGAATTCATTTTCATGTACAACATTATCAAATAAAAGGCCATATTTAATTTACTTGTTGAACCACTATCAGTCAACTTCCAGAAGAGGTTTCCCATCTTCCAGATTTGTTTGTCCCAAATGATTCTTTCCTCCAAAAATACACAGCAAAGATACAAACTATGTGGTAGACTGATTTGAATTGAACAATGTCAAACTCCTGATCTTATTTGGAAACCCTGACCTGGAATCTTTGATGTTCCTCCAATAGGAAGGGACATTATGAGTACATTAAAAAATACCACTTCAATAGATAGCTAGGTCCTGCTTGTGTTGGTGCTAGCCACATTGGTGCTTGAGAAAAGAAGGAACTTTCAAAATTAGAACCAGATACTGGCCACCAAAAATGCAAACTGTGAGAAACATCCATCAAAAACCACAAACTTGCCTTCGAATTTGTCCCCCTTTTAAAAAGAAATAAGTGTATAAGGCCTTCTTCAGATCTTCTACATCTTGATGATGGCCAAAGACAAATGGGCCCACTTGCATGAAATGGCAACACCATGCCAAGCAACCACCATTGCACATCTACCTGCATTATTGAATGTGCCAGTACAAGTTGTGGAAGGACCCTGAGATGGTGAATTAAGGCATTTCTTCAGACATGACAAATTTCAAAACCATGGAATGATCCATATGCATGGCTTTACCTACATGAAAAAAAAAACATCTTATTTAATGCAATCAATGCAAACCTTCCATCATGGAAAAACATTGTACAATTTGGTTATGAAGTATCAAATTACACCATAATAACTACCAAACAGAGAACTGTGCGATTCACATGCTTATTTACCGCAATTAGATGATGAATAGATAAATGAATTCAAATTTTTTGTGTTTATGCTTATAATAATAATAATATTTTTAAAAGCGGTCTAACTCATCGTGCTTATGTTGCAACACTATGTACTGTATAATATGTAAAGTTACGGGCATGTTGTAACATTATTGTTTTGTTGCAACAAAAGAGACAGATTGTTGCAATATTCCAACATTCGATATATGATTACGGGGGACAAGCTTACTTGTGTACGGAATTCTGCTTGGCTAATACTCACAAAACTCTGTCGCATTGAATTGAACTTCTCTTCCTGAAGTCGTTAAACATTTTATATTTTGATTTTGATTGCTGGAAAAAACAGATGTCAATGCCGTAAATAATATATTTTGTTTTTGTGGATGCATCGAATCTTGAGCATTATATTTTCTTTATTATCATCATTCTTTTCATTACACGTGAACCAATCATTTATATTCAACCGCTTCTTTTCATTGATTATATATTATATACATCCGTCAAAAAAGGCGAAACATCTATTTCTCGAATGGATTCGGGCTTTTAATTTTTATTATATTTATTAATGATATGATTAAATTTTTTGCTCAACGAAAAAATAATATGTAGTGTATGCCTCAACACTCGCATTTGAACGTAACGTGTAAAGGCAGATTGTATAATCGCACTGTAATGCTGATCTGATGTTTTTGTTTAAAAACTTGTTTTTCTTTGCGGAAAATTGAATAGCGTATAAATATTTTTCTTGATTGATAAAATCATTTGAAAAATCGAAAAATCAAAATTATATTATTTAAAGAACAACTTCAACATATAAAAAAAGATAAAATTTTAGTGATTGATCTGTTGTAATTTAGCAATAAAAGAATTTTGGCATTCTTTCTTTGATACTTTTAAAATTTCAAAGATAAAACTTACAAAAACCTTCACCAAACCTGTCTTATGTACTGTGTAAAAGTTGTTCTATCTGCCAATATCAACCTGCTTCAAACTCAGACTCTCGAGCGCGTTTTAATTTATTATTACTATTATGCGTAGTTAACTAACTTTAAAGCCAGAAATTGAAACAAAAACATTAATTTAATCACAACCAACTCCTACATATTAATATTGACATTCCTACACGTGTTTCAAACTCAGGCACTAAAGACAATTCGAGCGCGTTTGATTGATTCTTTTCATTTTGTAATCATAATCAAAGAAATATTAGCAACAGTTATTATAATTGTATCGTACGTAATAGTTAAAAGAAAATATACGGAAAAAATTTTGACGTTTCACGATTTTACGTTGGTTTCTTTGTTTTTTTACTGTCTTACAAAAACAAAGTATTGTATAGGAATGGTTGATGTTAATGTTGATATCAAGTATTTAACATTAGATATTAATATTTAATAAAGTCAAATTTTTTAAAACATGATTTTTTGGGAAGCATGAAATCAAAAAAAAAGATACTGTGATGTTGATATGTAAAAATTCAACAGCTTCAAACCCTCGCTTGAAATAGCAGAGGAAAATAAATACACAGTTAACATTCTAATAAATAAAACAAATAATCATTCATTATTTTTAAATAAATTAATCATTAAAAAGCTTTTAAAAATAAAAATGTTGTTTTTATCTTTCTTCGTTCAAAGCGTTTTGGTAAAAAGCCACGTTTTATTTTCTTTAAAGAATTAACTAGTGAGTATTAATAACGGTTGTCTGATGATTAATTGGAAATACCGGTAATTGTAAACGTGAGGCTGTTAAACAAGCTGTTTAAGTTGTTTTGTAAATAAACCAAAGAGAGTTTGCAATTGGCCAAGAAATATAAACAAAGGTAAACAACTGAAATAAATTGGTCACAAATGAATTAAAGAAAGTGTATTTACAGACTCGCGTACAAAAAAGAGGCATTAGTAAGCAAGAATCAAAGTAAATTCATAACTAATCAATTGACAAGCACAGATTTATTGTGTGCGCTGCTTGCAATTAACTGACAAGAGTAGTCCAAAAGTTAGGCCATACATGTTAAATAATCAGAATTAACTGAAATACCACCTTGTAATACCACCATTTAACAAGAATTAAAAACGTAAAGGTTTATTATCATTATAAATAATTACTAGAATCTAATTAATTAAAAAAATATTGTTAGTAATAATTAATGGGTAGTAATCTCCAATAATTAATAATGGAATTATTCAACATTTAAGAGAAAAGAGTTAAAATCAAGATTATTTAATCTAATATTCTATTTATATGATATGCATCTGGATGTGATTTGTGTACTTGTTGCAAAACATTACTACTGCTAGTAGTGTTAGAATCTAATATTTATTAATTAAAAAATATGTGCTTATACATGTAAACGCCCCAATACAATTTTATATTAAAACGTAAAATTTTAAATTCTCATTTTCTGTTTTATTTTATTTATGATTTTGTGATTATTGATAAAGATTATTAAAATTCCATTTCTGCTTGTTTTTCAGCTAATTTATTGTATATATTGATATAAAAATGACAATTGTGAATAATGTGAATAATTAACAAAAAACTTTATAGATTGATATTTATTATCATTACCTCTTCTTTTAGCTCTGTTTTCTTTCAGGATATTTTGAACAAAATTTTCAAAATATTTTACGTGAGGTTTCAATGAAGTTTTTTCATAATCTTTTGAAAATTCAATTAAAGGTAGAGAAAGGAAAAAATAAAAATAAATTAATACAAATATATCCCTCTATAATTTCTAATTTCCAATTTATAATCTAATTACCATTACGAGTTTTTCCTCCTCCATCTTCTGGACGTAATTGATCCATTTCTTGAATCAACATTGAGACTGTTGGAACATCTAATGGATTAAAATCATCACAAGTTTCTAATGGAATTGGAACACATACTCTACCTAATAAATAAAATATTTATTATTATATCATTTTTGATAATTAATTAGTAAAATGATATGATAATAAGTTATTTGCCTGTTTTAGGATGTATACAAAATGGACTTTTCAACAAATGATTAATATTTATCGATACCGCCTCATCAAGTCTTGGGTATGCATATTGAAGAATTATTTCATTTTCACATTTTTTTTCATACTAAAACAAAATTAAATGTTGTTAAAAATGTAATACTATTATTTTTATTAAATTTTTTTTATAATTAATACCTCTCCTTTTTTATTCAACTCATTTGTTAAATCTTTCCATCTATTTAAAGATGTTTCTGATGGATTTTCCAACCAACGTTTATTTAAAGTATTTCTTATTTCTATATTCAGCAGAAAATAAAAAGATTTTTGAATTTTAATATAATAATAATAATAATAATAAGTATTTCTTTTCTTTCCTTCCTTACTCAATAGTTACTAATTAATATATTTACCCATGTTAGGAATGCATGCCAATACTTTATTCCAACAATTTTCATCTTTCAAAACATCCTGATCTTTCAATATTAAATCCTCAAAATATTGGTCTATAATATTTAAAGATCGACTAATTATTTGTTCATAAAAAAAAAAAATTATATATATATGAATACGAATATTATATACATATATTTTCACATATATTAAATTATAGCAAAGTACCTTATGAAAGGATGCAAGTGTTTCTTAAGAATGACTTTTTTCTGTACTTGTGCACCACCCTATATATATATATACATACATATATACTGGTTTGAAAATAATAATTGAAAAAAAAAATATACTCTCATATTATATATGTATCAAAACCTTAATAACTTCCAAATAAGATACAATAGCTTTTCTCTCATTGTTTTTTAATTTCCTGGCTGATTCATCACAGACCCAACAATGAGCACCACGTCTACCTGAATATACCCACAATAAATGTCTGAACCCGAAATCCTCTAAATATTAAAATATGGTTACATGAATTGTGTGATGTGAATAAAACAAGAAAGTTCCTAATCATATAATCATGTAATAATTAATTTATTGATTGATTAACTAACCTCTTAATGCAACATCAATTATCTTGATTGCAATTGTTATAAATCTCCAACATTTTAAGCAAATTTCACCACCACTTAAATGATTAAATTAATTAAAATTTAAATAAATACATATATAAAATATATAAAAATATATACATGCAGATATAATGCACACATACCTGCAACATGTTCTAATATCATCATAATCCGTCATATCAATATCAAATACTAATTCTTTTTCAATTGGTTGAAATAGTGATGGTTTAAGAGATTTTTTATCTATTGGCTTTATTTTAAAATAATTTAAAATTAATTGATTGATTTCCTTCCCCCCCTCCTCCAATGATTAATCAAGTATTATTTACTCTTGCAGTATAAATTGCTCCAATATCAATTTTTTTAGGACATTTGTTTAAAATATCAGTTTTTAATTCCTCAATGTTATTATATGAATAATATCTTAAATACACATCTGTATTTAATGTAAAACTAAATTCGCGATTATGAAATGATTTCCCAACATCTAAAAATGATTATAGTGATATTTTGTATTATTATTATTATTAATTGTTACTTATAGAAATAAAAATAATACCTGTTTCGTAATTTAACCAATGAAAAAATGGCTTGTATGGAAAAAGTCTTTGATAAAAAACGCGTAATTCTTCTATATTCATTTTATTCGTATTTTTAAAATTTGATAATAATAATAATAATAACACGATTCGCAGCATAATGGACATTCATTTATCACATTGTGATTTTGATTTCATTGGCTAAATTTTATGACGATCACCCTCCAAACAATCACACAAAAATCAAATTTTATTGGCTTGAAGATCTTTTACAAAAACAAAATTTTAAAGGTTGAAACTAAAAATAGTATTTTATTACCTTGAGTTGAATTTTATTAATAAAAAAGAGTATATATAAATTATAAATATTAATTTAAAATTATTACATAAAAATTATTTAATAAATATTATCTCTTTTACAACAATCAAAATTCCTATTATTATTAAAAAATGTCTCAAAATATAAATTATTGTCAAGTTTTGGATTGTGAGTCAAACAAAGATATCAGAACATTTACACCTGGTGCCAAAAAAAAATCTGAAGAAAAAGAGACACTAACTATGTATAATTATCTAAATATTGGTGATAAAATATGTCTTAAACATTATTTAATGATTGTAGAGCCAGACAGGAATGTTAAAAAAAAAAATATCAAATTTTTACCAAACTAATTTATCTGATTTATTAAAAAATAAAAATGATAATTCTTCAAATAATTTTGAAAATTGGTCAGATATAAAAGTTGATATGGCAAATGATAAACCAAATTTAACAAAAGATAATTTTGATCTTTTATTGCAGAAAATATCTAATATGGAGTCAGAATTGAATGTTTATAGAAATAATCAAATTAGTAAATCTAATAAATTCAGTTATAAAATTAAAATTTTATCTGATTCTTTATTTTATCTTCAAAGGGATTTTAATTCAAATCTTGAATTAAATCCAGATAAATTTAAAATAATGATCGAAAAATATCAACCTATATTAATTGGATTTTTTGATGAATTAATTGAAATGTTTGTGCCAACTAATAGATCTGAATTTAATAAGGAGAATGCTAAAAAAAATGTTGTTGTATTTTGTTACTTGTTAGCTGGTTTGAGAAATAAGTTTATTAATTCTTTACAACTTGAAATTGGATTATACTTATCATCATCTGGAGCAACAGTTGAATCAATAGACATATTGTCAAAAATGGGTATATCAGTAAGTCACAAGACTGTAGAAAGATTTAAACAAAAAATTGAAACTGATCACCCTAATAAAATTAATGACTATTTATTATATAATGTAATTAATAATTTAATATATGTATATATTATTAAATATAATTTTTAAATATTACTAATACTTTTGTGTATTTATAGTCAGGAAAATTATTTTGTTTTAACTTGGATGATTATCATTCAATTCACTCTTTCAGAGCACCAAATACTACAACATTATCAACTGCCCATCATATGGCAACATGCACAGTTAAAACTATTGAAGATAGTGAAAGGATATTAATCATTAATAATGGAGTTCATATAAATAACCCAAAAAATATAGAGGCCTTAAGAATTATAAAATACCTACACAATGAACATATTTATTATTTAGAGGACAGTTATAATATTAGAAAGTCATGTTGGTTACAAAACAAAAAAAATTTGTTTGATTGTTTTAATAGAATAGAGCTTTTAACAGTTCATTATTATGATTATGCTATTGAACAAAGA